AGCAAATAATAAATAACTGCTAATTATTCATAATCATTTTACTTTGAGAAAATTTGGCTTTACTTTTTCAGTGTATCTCCAGTAACTGCTTGAATACAAACTGAAACAATCTCCAGCCAACTTGAACAGAAGCTGTTAAATCCGTAAATATTTTTAAGCTGATCCATTTTTTACTGAAATTAATTCCAGTGAGGATGACATCAAGCACTTTCTGGAAGCAGCCCATGCAAATGAACTGATCGTTATTCCACTTGTACAGACATTTGGCCATCTGGAGGTAATGTTATGTCCTCAGTTGTCGTCAAAGTCTAGACAAACCCTTCCTCTCCTGGTAGAGAGGTGGGCTTAGTAGAGGATTTACAGTGTACGATGTTAATTAGCCTATATACAGACGTTGCTTTATTTTTCTTTCCGTTCATTTCGAAAACATAGGCAAGCTCATGAGCAAAGGGAGCACACCCACTACTACCCCCTTGTGCTGGCAGTCAATAAATCCCCCACAGTTTATATTTTATCACCTGCACTCGATGGACTTTGAAGAGAAAATAGAGGTTCTGTGAACAGGCTAATGTTAGTAGACCGTTTTCACGATGAGGGCATTGGACTACAGCTACCAAAATTCAATTCGTTTTGCTTTTTTATTTAAGTTTGTCAATCCCACCAAGGTTTAATGAAACAGTAGCCTTAATTAACACAATAAAACAACAAACTGAAGCATTCTGGTAGTTGTAGTATAATGACGTCATCGTCTAATTGTCCTATTATTAATAGTTTTTCATATATTTTGAGCGTTTTGTTTTTCTATCTATTATTAGTTTGTCCTAAAGCACAAGGAGTTTTCACATCTTCGTGAAACAGAGCACTATACCAATTCAGTGTGCCCGAGCAATAAGGGTGAGCCTGTGTAATTTGTGGCAAAATTTTATTCCTACTGGTTATCTTTTATTTTAAATAGCCTACCTTAACTTATCTTTACCTTTGCAAAAAATGCTTAGGTGGTGACTCTTAAATTTCTTCATGTATTACTCAGAAGTCTTACTGCATTTTACTAATATTTGGGTGGGTTTCACTTTTTTAGGGTCTGTTCCTATGGTACTGGAACTCATTGATCAAGTTCTAGCTCTTCATCCTGACATTAAGTGGTTTCACGTTGGTGGAGATGAAGTACTGTCATTGAATTCATATAGTGTTTCATAATACTGATATAAATACATGTTTATAGCATGCTCATCTTTATTTTGAAGCATGTCGTTATCCCCCCTCCTTTCCATTTTTCACTCCTATCCCATCAATCTTAACGCCGCAGGGGCCACCTATCTATGAATAAATTCAGAAGGCAAAATTTTGCTTCTGCTACAACATTTTATACAGCTATATCTTGAGTTTTAGAGGCTATTTAGATAAAATTTTACAGAGACATTGTGCAATGATGGAAGTTTTAAATGGGAGGGAACGGTTTTTTATTTGGCAGATCATACTTTATGGTGATGCTTTAAGCCAAAGTTATACCAAATTGGGAAATCGTGATTTTGTGTCCAAGTTTGCGGAAAGAATAGAAGACAGCAATCTGTGATTTTATTCATAAATGATCGGTCAAAAAACCTATAATGTTTGTCATGTATAGAGCAGATTTTACAATTTAAAGTTTGCCAGCAAAATATAATTTAAAAAAAAATAGAATATAATTTGACTTTTCCGACAATTTTGGGTCCAAGAATTCAGTGCAGATACAAAACTTCATGAGCTGGAACTGAAAGAGGTAAACTTGGTAGACTGTGAGAGTCATGTATAGAACCGAATTCTAAAAGAACGCTTTTATAAAAAGATATAAGGCATTAATTTAAGGGATGGCAGATTTTGCTCTAAACAATATATTGTTTAAATAAGCAAAATCTGCCAATCAGAAGTAAAGTACGGACAATAGTGAAGTTAGCACATTTTTGCATTCCAATATTTTCATAGCTGTTGTTGGTTTCCTTCTTATCTGGACCGTTACTTAATCTAGTCAATATAATAATACTGTTTCAGGTGTGGAACCTTAAGACCTGCCCAGTTTGCATAAAAGATGAACGTAACAAATCTCAGCTTTTTGTGCATCACATGACCCCAATTCTGAAGCATTTGCAATCTAAGGAGATCACCCCAATAATGTGGGATGACATGATGAGATGGTCGCCTGTTGAATACTTGAAAGGTATGCTTCTATACATAGCTTGCCCTTGTGCTTCCACTACAGCTCTCGATATATCATAAATGTCCTGTAAATCAGTAGTTTTTTGGTGTAACTGTTGCAGATAAATACCATCACCAAGTGACATACAGTCGAACCCCATTAATGCAGACACTGAGAGTGCCATAGAAAGAGTCGGTATTAACAGGGTGTCTGTGTAAAGTTGAATTTAGAGAAAATGTAAGGGCTTTACCCTGGCAAGGACAAAGAAAAGGGTCCGTAATAATAAGCTGTCTATATTAAGCGGGTGTCTGCAAAGCGGGGTTCGACTGTAATACAAAAGACTGAAAAAATAGTCTAAATTTGAACGTTAAAGCATCTTACCAAGAGACGTCTCAAAAATTTATGCTGAGCTGACAGCGACATTTTCGTCCTAGATAAACGGCGTCAGCCACGATTTTTTCTAACCTACCAAGCGACAGGAAGTCTCAGAAATGACCAACAAAGTGATGGCATCTCCCCCTTTCCCCTTCCCCCTTGAAAGGTTTCATAACTGTAAAAGAAAGTAAACTACCTTAGCAAGTGAGACAGAGCCATTCCAGTTCTGTCTGGTTCAAAGGCACATTAAACTTGCCTACTCTATTTACTTTCTCTGATGCCCGGCCTGACAAAATTCCATATATCTGACCCCATCTTTAAGACTACACGAGGTGAAGAAGAGAGCAATGCTGTGTCGAAATTGGCCCAAGTAGACTGCAAAAACCACAATTCAAAAATAAATTTACTTAAAGATCATGTAGCGATGATTATGATCCCCGGTTATGATCCAATCCCACAAACCCCAACACCGCCCTCAATTTAATGCTCTCTGCTAATTTTGTATTGAATCATAGAACTTGGTTCTCTGGTGGAACCCATGGTTTGGGCTTACACATCAGATCTTACTGGATACTTTCCTCCAGGTAAACCGTACTTTCTTGTGGTGATCCTTTTGCATGTTTGCTGTCTATTTAGTTAATAGGGTCTTTAAGATCCAACCACCCGGGCGGCAATGAGAACGTAAAAAACCAACAGGTTTTGTATTAAAACAAAACAACAACTTTGCACGTGCATCACGCTTGTTTGTACATTTCTTTGCCCGTTTTTGCACGACCACCACGTAAAAATGCCTAATTTCGCGTTTTATGGAGTATGTTAACAAGCAACGACGAAATTTTATTTCTCTGTCTGAACTTGGACATGGTCCCTAGGACTTCAACTTCAGGAGAGTTCACCTACATTTGACAAAGTAAGTGGGTAGGAATACTTGCGATAGCGACTGAAAAATGCAAATTCACTTTTTAAACGACGTTGTCGTTGCCGTCGCGTCGTTAGATCTTAAAGTCCCTAATCTTGAGCCATTTCCTTCCCTGGGTTGTCCTTTTTTGGTTGTACTCTAGACGAAATAGAAAAGGATACTTTAAACAGAATAGCAAGGGATCCTGCTGGTGGGGAATCTTGACCCAACAATTTTAACCTGAAAGCAAAGACCTTCTACCTTTTATTGACATATTCTGCTTAACAGGCACGTGAGAAATATTGAATACAAGATAAGCAATGCGCGCGAGAGAGTAGGACACGCATGAGGTCTCGCGCGCGCCTACTTCTTTCTCGTGGAAAGCCCCGGCGGTCTTATTTGCGCCCGAAATTTCTCATGTGCCTCGGCCTGCTATGGTCGCCTTTACTTTCTCAAACTAAGCTTTATAGTTGAATGTGTGACTTATACACCAGTTCTTACAGTATATAACCCTATTTTGAAAGGTATGTGGCAAAGATATGGAGAAGCATTCAAGAAAGTTTGGGCGGCAAGTGCATTTAAAGGTACAATATTAGTATATGTGTTTAGTTGTGGGCGTTTTTAAAAAGGAATAACTGTTGTAGAATTTTGATAGTGCTTATAGCTTTTTTTTGGTCCGATTATGATTTTCCTTTAGACATGTTAATCGAAAATCTCACTGCCGTTATAGTCACATAAAAAATTATTGTAGACGTCCGTTTGGCCAGTTACATTTACAAATATCTTTTTTTTAGGTTCGGATCATTAGAAAAGTAAAGGGGAGATAAAACAAAAAAATTCATACAAGTTATGAGGAAGTTACTGGACTGGGTCTGCACAATATGTTGCCTGTGCTTTTGCTTGCTTCGAACGCGTAAACCAACCTTTTCTACATTCAACTCGAACTGAAAACGCTTTAACTTAAACTTGATTTCTTTGTATAGGAGCAACACACCCCTGGAGTAATTTTGTTCCTATTGGTTTCCACGTGCAGAACAATCTGAACTGGCTAAAGATCATAGACGAGCTACCTTCCACTCTGAAGGTGAATGGAATCGCGCTGACAGGCTGGAGCAGGTAACAGATAGAACTTATTACAATGAAATTTCCATTGATTGTATCAAGAGAGAATAACAAGACAGAGATGGAATCTTAGGGCTTTGGCTGAGTTATGTGAATTTCAATTAAGTTATTTTTAGAGCAGGGTTCGTACAGGTCACAGAAAACCTGGAAAGTCAGGGAATTTAAGCATTTCATTTTCCAGGCCTGAAAAGTCATGGAATTTAATACTCGGTCCTTGAAAGTCATGTAAAATTAAAGTTTTGTTTGATAGTTTAGTTACAGCCGATGACAAGGCAAGGACAATGATTGTAACATAGGGAGAAGTGATTGAACAGCGCGGACGGCGCGCATTTTGGTGGACACCAGAGTTTGTCTGTTGAACTGTTAAAGGTCCAAAAATACCCTAACACAAGGTGACAAAGTGTCAGCTAAACCTAAGGTCTTGGAAACTTAAAAAGATCATGGAAAGTCATGGAATTTGAAGAACCGTCAAAAGAGTACGAACCCTGTTAGTGGCTGAAATTTTAATTAAAAGAAAGCTTAAGCTCTCTTCATCTTTATCCTATTGATTAAAGGGAAGCTTAATTTTATAAAAGGAAGTCGGAACATCGCGTCCGCACATTTTTACTGATTGTTTGAAGCATTGTCAAGTCCACGCGCTACTGCCTCAAAGCAAACAATGCAGAATGTTTTAATGACGGCTGCTGAATTCTCCCTTGATAACAGTGAATATTAAGTTTTCGGACCTCTCCGGAAGCAAACTTCCGATTAATTTCATGCGTTTAATTGGTCTAATAATAACTTTGGTGAAATTCACATATGACGAGGGCTAGACTGGGCGTCTCCCTCTCCATCCCTGCTTAGTTTGGGTTTATCAGAGTTACTAGGCTGATTTAGCAACAGAACGAGAACGTCAGATGACGACGGCACGCGCAAATCAAACGTTTGGCGACAAGAATGGTGACAACTGGCTTGACCAATGGCAGAGTGGCAAATTGGGCACCAGAAGTCGCGTTTAGTGCTTTCCGAGCGCCTTCCCGTCGTCAACTGACGTTGCCGTTCTGTTGCTAAATCAGCGTACTTTACTATTACCGTGTCTGCCGTATTTGCTCTAATGAATAGTAATATTCTTTACCTTTATTAAACCAGATTTGATCACTATGCTACATTATGCGAACTTCTTCCGGCCGCTCTTCCCTCGTTAGCTTACTGCTTAGAGGCGTTAAACCAAGGTAAGACTTTTTCGTACATTCAGCAGGAAAAGGTAGAGACTAGGCTCGATTTCCACCGCTTTCTCGGGTCTGGTCTCCCTAGGAGCGCAGGCTTGTTTCCCGATCTGTGGCTGGTAATCGAGCCAACAACAGGTAGAGTCTGACAGCGGTATGATCATTGTTTCCTACTACATGTTCGTGGATTACTCATCGCACAACAACTTCTTCCTCACAACTTTTATGTAGAAATGACACCAGTGTCATTTAATTCCCGACTTATTTATTTATTCATTCATTTTAAAAGCCTTACGGGAGTCCATGATCTTGCGGCTCGTGGTTCTTCTAGCCTGCGAAAACATCCATTTCTCCTCGCTCTTCGCCGCTGGGGACGTTTCGCGGGGAGAAACGTCTGCGACTCAGCGACAGAAAATCCATACTGATGACGTAAAATCTGTCCGGAATCCGGTCAGAAGCACTGATTGGTCGACCGAGTAGTTGCATTGTTTTAGCTATTGTTTACGAATGACAGACAAGAGACAAAAGGCCACAAAGGTCAAATGTAGACGCGAAGAATCTCTAACAAAACAGTCAATATTTGTGGAATATAGTCTTCTCTGGAAGAAGCATTTGAGTTTCGCTGGAGCTTGTTGGCAGATGAACACAACACTTTACCAAAATCGACCAGAAGACACGTAAAATTGGACAAATTTATGTTTGGAACCCCATAGCTACTGGATTTATTATGTAAACATTGATTTGCGTCATCAGTATGGAATTTCTGTCGCTGAGTCGCGGACGTTTCTCCGCGCGAAACGTCCCCATCGGCGAAGAACGAGGAGAAACGAATGTTTTCGCAGGCAATGGTTCTACTTGCGTCTTGAAAATTTTGTTATGTCACTTTTACGAGGAGTGGACAGTCGGAGGCTTGTCAATTTGTTAATGATTTCCATCCACTTTTTTCTTAGGATACATGGATGAAGAACTAAGAAAATCAACAGCAAAGAAACTTGGTCTGCCCGAAACCTTCCCTCTCAATGTAATGAGATTTAATATGTGAGTATAATACAGAGCAAAAAGTCTCATTTTACCCATATGAGATAAATACCGGTGTGGAGATCGTTTTTATCCAAGTGGTCAGCAGCTGTGCGATAGACCTCTCATTATTGACGACACATCCGCCATCTTTGCACGCGCTCAAGGACTGATGGGCTGAAAAAAGATGTCACGTGGTTCGTCAGTGGGGCAAACAAGTATTACAATTTGCAACGAAGAAATCGCGGTGGAGTTTGTTTATTCAGGACAAGGGGAAATGAAGAACTTTTTATCTTTTAAGCACTATAATTGCAAATTATGACTGGGGTGAACTATCATTGTTACTTTTTCAGATGCAGTAGTGACCTTAAATGTCCTCACAGCGAGTAATAATGAAGCAGAAAAACTTGTCGAAACTCGAACTGTACATTTTGCGTGACTATAATATTAAATTGTGGTCTCGTTTTGAGAGAATAATCCAACTGTACCGCGTTTACTTGTATTGGCAAATCTTATCAGTTGTTTGCCCCTGCCCCTGAAATACCACGTGACATAACGTTTACCTGTCAATCCTAAAGCGCGTGAAAAGATGGCGGGTATCGTGAATAAGGTCTATTTAGGGAACCCCAGAAAAAGGTTTTTGCTTTTTGTCAGTACTCACTGGACTACAGCTTGGACTGGACATGGCCGCCGTTTCATTGCTTTGATCCACCAATATGGCCGCCGTGACGTCACGTGAAATTGATCTTTAATGCATTGTAACACTAACAGCAATCGCCGAATGAACTAAAAGTATGGAGCTAACACTAAGCCAGAACACTAAGCTTACTTATGCAAAGCAAAAGCTATGCATGGAGATAGTCTAAGAATTTTCGACAGTTTATTTCCCGTGACTTGATTGCTTAGATATCGTAGTTATTCCAAGTTTTTTTTGTCAGTTAGTTTACAGTTTCATCCATCTATCAAGCTGCTTGTTTGTTTGTTTGTTTCTTTGTTTGTTTGTGTAGGTATCACCCACCTGACGGAAGCTTTCCAGGTCAGGAAATTTTCAAACTGGTGGGCCAGCTGAAGAAGGCATTGTATAAAACACAAGGTGTGAGCAACATGTGAGTAGAGGCAGTGGTTTACTGTTTAGGGCTTGGCTCGGTGCACGTCTGGTCTGTATCTACATCTACATAAGAGGACGTCCTGCAACGGGGAAAACCCATTACTGCATGACGTAACAAAGAACAGATAAGAACCTATTGAATTATTGGATATAACTAAATGATTTTGAAATTGAGGTAAATATAGGTAAAAGATTCAAAAAAAGAAGAATTAAAAATGTTTTATGCTCGATGAAATTTGATTATTCTTGTTTTCTGAAATACGTCTTTGCTGTAAAAGAGGCGCAGTAATGACACCAGGTATAACGTAAACGAGAAAAACCTAAAAACTGAAAGTCGCGCCCTCGTAAACTACGTGTAGAGACGCATGTACATTTTTAATAGAAGAAAGAAAATAAGCCGTTTTGTGTCGGTTCCCACAAAACTTCAAAGTGATCAATCGAAGTTGTGGAGGAGCTTAAACCTGGACGATAATTAAGGTAAAGGTAAACTGTTGTTGACTCATGACTGACCATCCTAAGGCCGACTGCATACTCATTTTATCCGCCTTTCTCCATCAGTACTCCGATTTACGGGCATTTTTTTAAAGCTTTCTAAAGCTACACTGAAAGGACAGAAGTCGAAACAAGGATTTGAGGTCACACCTGGGAATCGAACCGGGACCGCCCGCACGGAAGACCGCGCACTAACTGACTTTGCTAATTCTTGTTCATACAAAGCTAAAGCATCATTTGACTTCAAATTCTTGTTTTTAAAAAAACGTAGCCTGCGAAAACAGCCGTTTCTACTCGCTCCTCGCCGCTGGGGACGTTTCGCCAGGAGGAACGTCTGTGACTCAGCGACATAAATTCCATACTTATGTAGTGAATCAATGTTTACATTAATAAATCGTTTTTCCTGGTCGATTTTGGTGAAGTGTTGTGTTCAACTTCGAAGGAGCTCCAGCAAAACTCAAATGCTTCTTCTAGAGAAGAATATATTCCACAAATAGTGACTGTTTTGTTTTAAATTCATCGCGTTTACGTTTCACCTTTGTAGCCTTTTGTCTTTTGTCTGTCATTCGTAAACAATAGCTAAAACAATGTGACTACTCCGTTGTCCAATCAGTGCTAATGACTGGATTCCGGACAGATTTACGTCATAAGTATGGAATATCTGTCGCCGAGTCGCAGACGTTCCTCCTCGCGAAACGTCCCCAGCGGCGAGAAGCGAGAAGAATCGGCTGTTTTCACAGGCTATAAAAACCGCTACTCGGAGATAATTAATTCATCTCTTTTTTTTACAATGCCAACCTCGACAGCTACTTCATACTCGCCTGCGGTAGACTGGGGTTTTCCTTCTTTCCTTCAGTTTACAGTTATTCAGACAACCAAAAATCATCTAGTAGCAGAAGCAAACGGCTCATGTCTGCCTCAAAAAAGATGCACTGTAAACTCATAATTCGCTCTTTCCTTTTGTTATTCGTTCCCTTCAGAGAGCAAGGCTGGGTATTAGAACGTCAAGTTGAAAGCAAGTTTTTAAATTACTATCATCTGTCAAGTGCGATAAACAGGACCATCCAGTAAGTTACCTGGAATTTGTTGTATTGTTTTATTATTGTTATTATTATTTTTATGAATATTATTATTATTATTATTATTCATTATTATTATGTAAAATTTAGCACAGGGATTTTCCCTGGGAGAAATATCCAGTCAAGTCTGATCCCGAGACCTCAGACTTCCAGCACCTTTCTGAGGATATGTGCCGATCCGAGGAGTGCCGACTTTTGCATCGTTCTTGTTCGGTTTTTAATTCCTAGTTCCTCCAAGTGGCCTGCCAGCTTCTTTGACACTGAACCCAATGCACCTACAACCACTGGCATCACTTTTGTCCTTGATTTCCAGATCCTTTGAATCTCTCTTGCCAGGTCTTGGTACTTTTCACACTTTACAGTTTCTTTCTGCAGAATTATTATTATTATTATTGTTATTATTATTATTATTATTATTATTATTATTATTATTATTATTATTATATATTATCATTATTAGTAGTAGTAGTATAGGTAATAGCATGATTAGTAGTGATATTTCGCATAAATACCACGAGTGATATTTCGAAATTGTTATACGTAATTGAGACAATTTGAGACAATTTTGAAATATCACGAGTGGTATTTGTGCCAAATATCACGAACAAATCATGCTATTATTTGTTTATGCTACTACCCACAAAAGGTTTGTAATTTTCACATGTAGGTATTTCAAATTAAGCTGAAATACCACTGCTCTAAGCCAATCAGGGGAGCAAGGGTGGCGCAGTGGTGAGAGCGCTCGCCTCCCACCAATGTGGCCCGGGCTCAAACCCCGGTGTCGACATGTGGGTTGACTTTGTTGTTGGTTCTCTGCCTTGCTCCGAGAGGTTTTTCTCCGGGTACCCCGGTTTTCCCCTCTCCCCAAAAACCAACACTTCCAAATTCCAATTCGATCCGGAACGCACGGACACTGAAAAACGAGCTCTTAAGCTCTTAGGTGCTTCGTGGGTAAATAAATTACATTTACATTTTTTTTTTGCAAATTGCAGAAATTTCTCATGTAGTAGTATAATCATCATTATTATTATAGGCAGTTTAAAACGTCTGGATGCCAGACCCAACTTAAAATCACGAAGGTTATAGGCGGCAAACCGTGATTAACCTTTGTGTTTTCTAAAAAAATAGAAATGATAAATTAATTGATTGATTAAAATGTCAATATATGTGTTACATTACTTGTAAAATTTGTTAGCTAAAATAAATATATCTGTTAATGATATATGAAATAAATCATATATGAACTGCTTAAATGAAGTGAAACGATTATTTCTTCATTTTCATTTCATTTCCGCAGGTCATATATGATTTATTTCATATATCATTAACACTCATTTCAGTCTTTCACGGGAACATATGAACCCACAATTGACCTGCTCCCAACGTCAATGGCTTCATAGCTCAGTTGGTAGAGTATCGCACCGGTAATCGCAATTGCATAAATTGCGTTCACTGCGACGATCATTTCTTCATTTTCATAAAATAAATGTATCTATAAACAATAAAATTAAAATCATCTAATATTCTAGTATTTTTTAATTATTATTATTATTATTATTTCTTTATTTCTTATCTTAAAGCCTTTCCCTTTTGCCCTCTATTTCAGTGGCTTAGAGATCCTAACTGCTGTAGGGAAAGAGGCAGATAGAGTCCTATCTGACGTGTACGATGACCATGTGGTTAAGGAATGGATGAGGGATAAAATAGATAACATCATCAAACATCTAAATAACGAGAAAACGCGACTTGAAGAGCTCCTAAAAGTTGCTGCTCAAAGTGGAGAAAAGGAAGTTTGATAACCAACAGCGCATATTTAACTGTTTCGCTTGATAGCGAATCTTCGAGTAAAGAGAGAAAGAGGAGGAGATCTTTAAGATATTTGATACCTGCAAGAAAAAAGCTAAAAGAACTGTTTTGACAAGATTAGAAGATATTAGTCAGGAACCTGGAGATAAATCCTAACCTTCTAAGATGCGGCAAAGCTAAACAATTGATCCTATACCGTGGATGAACGTGTTGATTTGAAGTGCTTTACTGATCGCGGTGGATTAATGCTTACTCGAATATAAACTGCCAATCGCAGTACGCTGCTAAATGAAAATCAACCAATCAGATTTCAAGGTGAATACTGGCAGCCGCCGCCATGCGCGGGAGAAAATGCGCCTCATCAGGTCATTGGCTTCTTATTGGTTTGGAAAGTGGCACGAGATTTTTCAGCCAATCACAGATTGAAGCAATCACGAGATTACTTTCTACAAGTGGTTAAAGCAAAACACAGTACTAGACTGTGTACTTGTGCCCCTCAGAGTCACCTATGGAAAGTGAGGCACAGCAGTTCTAACTTTTGAGTCTGTGCCGGATGAACCCCTGACCTGATTTTTAAGATGAAACCATTTTCGCATTGCTGCCCCATCCTACCATGTGATTGCTGGTATTCAATTTAATCCTTTAAGTCCCAATGAAGTATTTTGTCTAACGTCAATTTTTTTCTTTTCATCTGTTAACGATATCCATACGATGTCTGGAGTCAAAAGTTAAAAAGATTATACCATTTTGTAGATGTTATGAGAACAAATAAAATGATCACCTGAAAAGGGAAAATGCGATGTCAAGAGATTAGGTTATGAGAATTAATAAAATGATCACCTAAGGGAAAATGCCTTGATCTTTTATCAAATTCTCTCAACTTATTCTTGAAGGAAATGTATGGAGATCAGTTTGGAGAATTTGTATGTGGATATTGGGGCCGAAAGGGTTAAAAGACTAATAGAGAGCTGTATAACATTACGTAACCATTCAAAAATGGGTAATATGTGTATTTTGTAACAATTTTCAATAAGTCAAAGGCTATTAATATTCTATTACATGCAAATTACATACAAAAGAGCATTTATGAGGTACTAGAAAGCGATTTTTTAAGCCATTCAGAATGCTAGGCTGTGAATACAGCCGTGTCTCCTCGCCCCACGCTGCTGGGGTCGTTTCGCGGCAGAGACAGTAGGGCCATTTATACGAGGGAAAATAGGACGCAAACTATCCTAATTAATTAATTAATTTCAAAAACTTATAAGGCGCAAATATCTATATAAATATATTCAAATGCGCCACAGGGAAAACAACACAAAACAAAACAAAACAATAATACTTCTAATAATAAAACTTATGAATAATTATGATAATAAAATTGATAAAATAAGATGATAATATAGATATAGAATAGAAAAACTAATGGCTAAAAGTTAAAAAGATAAAATCTGTTGGCAAAATCTTAAAAATTGTAACTGAAAATTATTTATAATCTAGTAAGTTAAAAATACAATCTTGTAATCTAAGTGGTACAAAGTGCTTTTTTAAAAAGGTGAGTCTTCAACTTTCTCTTAAAAGCGTCAATTGAAATGGATTCCCTAATAAATCTTGGCACAGCATTCCATAACTTAGGTGCAGCTAACAGAAAGGCCCGTTCACCGAGAGTTGCCTTGAGCTTAACATTCGGATAACTAAGTAGGGTACTGTCGCTAGAACTTCTTAAATTATATTTAGATACAGGCTTAGGAGTAATCAAAAAACTTAAGTACGAAGGTGCTAAGCCCTTAAAAATCTTAAAAACAATCAACAGGATTTTGAATTCAATTCTGAACTTTACAGGCAGCCAGGTTTAGCGCCTTAGCTAAATTTCCGAAGAAATGTGCTGTTTACACAGGATAGTTTGCGTCTTATTTTCCCTCGTATAAATGGCCCTAATGAAACGTCTCTAGCGGCGAGGAGAGACGGCTATGTTCGCCGCCTATTTATCAGAATGCGGGTATAAATGCCACGGTATAAAATTGTGGTGAAACCAGTTATTCTTAGGTCAGTTTGCATTTTTTTTGTTTCATAAGTTATATATATTTGTGCTTTTGGAATTTTCATACCTTGGAAGCATTTCCAGTAATGTAAGAAATTGACCAATGTCTTTCGGTGTCTCTTCGTGCAAGAGATAAGAAACCTCGTTCCCATTTTTCCCAGGCCTTCACTGCCATGCACTTGTGTGACCTTTCCGAAGCGAACAAGTCCGCTCTGATTAGAGCGAGACCCGTAAGGCCTTGGAATAACGGGGAAAGCCATGCCCAGGGTCTTTTTGTAGTCAAGTAAAACTTGTAAAAGGTGACTGGGGAAAAAGTCTGAATAAACGAAGTAATCGTTGACTTATCGGTTTTTCTCTTTTAAGGCATGATATTTAGAGTTTAATTTTTGCGAGAGGTTAGTTTTAAGCTTGATTCCCTCATTCGTTTCCACTACCCTGTTGATTTCATGAACTTTGTCGAAACTTTTTTAACGTTTTCTTAATTAGTTGTCCCTTATCATTTATGTTGTTAGGGGTTTGGGAAACGGGAAAAGCAAACGGTGCTATTTTTCACTTAATTTTATACCAGATCGAAGCATTTCAACGAAAGGAAAATCCTGTTTTTTCAGTTTCTTGGGTGCTGTTCTTAAAGGCAACCTGGCTGGGCGGTCAAAGTGCTGGACTTACAATCGACAAACAGTATATGATAGAAATCTATGACCAGTTTTTTGGCAATTTAACTGAATTGTATGAATTGTGCTCTGACGAGTCGAACAGCCCAACCGCCATAAAGCCAAACACTTTTGTGCTGAGATCAAAGAACTCCCTCCTTCCCTATCACTCACGCCCATATCGTCAAATCAAAACAAAAATATTCAAAAGTAGTTTTCAGGGACATACAAACATGATATTCTTGTAAACAGAAGCTGATTGCCGGTTTTATGGAAAACATCAAGGCTATTAATGGCTACTAAGTTTATTTTGATCTGAGTTGTGACGTTTACCAAAGGCGCCTGATTTTGAGCCGTATTCGTTAGGGGACTTAAAGGTGAAAAAAAGCACTTTGAGACTGTACCACGTCCGCGAGTTTGCGGAGCTATAACTTCGTTGGTTTTCAAGAAATCACCTTTACCGAGCTTTACTTAGTAGCCCTATTGAAACTGCAACCCCATTATAACAGCCTCCTCGTCAGGCCCTTCGTTTTTCGCAAGGTAGAGGCAAGCGACTGGTGATGAACCGCAAGGGACCATGGGAAGAGTACAGACGGAAGGCCTCTCGCCCGTCGTCTCCTACCCGTCTTCCTTTGCGCGCACATTTTCATCGAGAGAGAGGCGTCTGGGTACGAGGCAGCCATTATAATCAATCCAGTTGTGAAAATGCGACCTCATCCAGTGGCACATCCCCTCTGCCTGTTTCTAGGAATTACCTCCCCCCCGGGGGGGGAGTTATGTTAGACGGACTAAATATGCAAGCACACAATTGATCGGGTTCAGAACAACAACAACAACATCTTTTATTTAAACACGGTGGGTTTTAAAGCTAATATAGCTTGTCGGGCCGTGTAAAAAATGTTAAGAAAATAAAATAATAAAAATTATCAAAATTGAATGTAGTCAATAAAAGGTGAAATATGTACAATAAAAGATATGAGTAGAATTAATAAAAGACGAAATCAATCAAGGGCAAGGAAAATGTTGACATTCTGAAATTAAAACACAGGAAGGTGAAATTAACTCAAAATTGCACATGAATTATTCATCGATAAGTACCAAATAAAACCTTTTTAACTGATGAACAGCTGCTGAGTAAAATGTTCATATCATGCTTTAAGACATCCTGCTTTAAATGTTAAGTTTTCCTGTCGGCTTTAGTAATAGAGACGTTATTGTGCAAAGTGAGGGGAAAAACACAGGATTGGAATTCCGAAAGCCATTTTTCAGGTATTTTATACTCTTTATTTAGTCTTTGAAATTGCACGGAATAAGAGAACAGTTATAATTGCTTCAGTTTTATTTGAATATTTGCATGTCCGAAAAAGAAAAGAAAGGTAAAATTGGTATATTTGAGCGACGTCTCTCTCCTTGAATGGCTAGAAATTATATATAACTACATCACCAAAACCAACAAAACCTGCCTCACCAAATATGGCGTATTTACCTGGAAACACTTCTTCAAAAAGAGGCTCAAAAACAAGCGAGTCAGTTCGAAGTCAAAGAACAGTCGACGTTTTACTACATTCACCTGTAAAACAGCATATCAAAACTGTACACACAACAAGTCAGTTTGGAATGAAATAGAGCTCTATTATATAGTTCCTCCGAGATCTCCATAATTCTTAAGATCATACGAAAGCTGAATCCTATAACGGTTTTATTATTTAAACCCTGTTCTCACTACGCAAAATTTTGTTTGTTTTACAAATTAATCTATCGGCAGAAAGCCATTTCTAGTGCGAGCTATTTCTTTCACCCGCCAAAATTTTCTCAAATGTTACCAAACTTCAAAGATGCCGTCGAATTTTTTGTCAGGCGACAAAGCGCGAAGCGTGGGCGAGCGGAGCCCCATTGCTAAGAAAATTTGTTTCTCTATTCACAACACTGAAAATCGAAGCGCGAAGCCAAAACATTAAAATACCAAGTCTCATGCACAAGGGTATGCAGGTGCACGGGGCCCTGAATCCCAAGGGGCAATAATAAATGCCGTTGAACACTCCCTCTCCGCTCAGTCTCTGATCAGCGCAAAGGAAGAAGGTGGAACGGCCCACCCTCCCTTACCCTTTCTTTGCTAAAAATTCGTGTTTGGATCGGGAATCGATTACAGTTTGCACCTCCTCAAGGGCGCTCGATCAATTTTCCCATATCTTAATAACAATGAGCGCGAGTAATTGAGTGGTGTGAAATAGGATACTACCGACCTTAAGTTTAGGTGGACGGCTACATAGAGGACGGTGACTTTGGCCGCGACAGGTTGGGGAGGGACGACGTCGACTTGGCGAGAGAAACAAGCTTTAAGTTTCAGTAGAGGTGACGGTCAAAGACGTTTCTTAACTTTATTGAAGGTTTGAGAATGAAAGGAATCCGAGAGCTTTTGGTCCACTTTTATAATTATGATGGTGTCATATCACATGAGAAATTAGTTCTCTTGTACGATGAAATCTAGTTGAGCGCTTTGTTGCTCGAAAGTGAATGTTCGTCGCTCCACTGAGCCTACCGGTATTGCCAAATTTTCGCACGCTTCACAGTTCTTACGGCTGGCAATCGAGCCTACACAGCTCTGGGCTTGAAGCGGTAGGGTTCCCTTACAAGAACTTCTTTGGCAAGCTGAATATCGTGATCTTCAGTCCACTCCATCTTCATTAATATAAGAACAAATTATTAAATAGAATTGACAAGTTGCGCGCAAAAATAAACAAGTTCCTTCATCCTGCTTTATAAAGGGCTTCATTTTGTCGAATAAAATGTTAACCAATTAACGCGTAATTTCATTTTGGCCTACAACTTAAGCAGAAAAAATGAACTAAAAACTTCGTGAAAGAAAAAAAGGGTAAAAGTCGATGTTCAGATGGTGAGAGAATGCTTAAATGTGATTATTTTATCGCTGGAAATTTCCTGCAATTGTACCACTTGCTGTTGTTATATTCAATCATAAAATAGTGTTTAAGTAACTATTGAAAAAGGTTTAGCTTTTGAAGTAAACTAGACACTCCAGAAACAGAGATTAAAGCGGTATTCTGTTAAAATAAAGATGTTTTGAAGACGAAAACACGAAGAAAAAACTCACGTTCTCGAGACACCGCCGCACTAAGCTTTCTCACCGTCGCGACGAGCAGACAACGTAGGTTGGACGGCTGAGATATATGCTAATTAGCCCCAAATCGGGCAACTTTTATTTCCGGTTGCTGTCCTCCACCTTACCGTCCACCCTAACTTAAGGTCCGTACTTTTTGGCTGTGAAGTCAGCGCACGCCCACCCGAACGTACAGACTCTGGGGGAGCGGGAAGGGAGCCTGACTGATAGGTGGATGACACTTTTTTGCGGCGGGAAATCGCGCTTGTGCCTAACCCTGACCCCAAACAATACTGAAACAATTGAGAGAA